GCCATACTCATCTTCATCCACATCATAATTATTATTCATCTTCTGGATCCAATTCTGATATTAGGAGAGATTCACCTTACACTTATAACCGAGGGGGTGCTAGTGAGAGCTACAAGTCAAACTCTGCTTCTAGCTCAAGATATAATGGTAACCATGATCACATGAGTGCAATTGATACTGCACAGGTACTTCGCCAGCAACAATTACACCAACAACAATTACAAGAACAGTATTTAAAATCAAAGCAAGAAGAGGAAAAGATACCGGAATGGAAAAGAAAGGAAGACTTTTTTGCCGCTTTAGGCCTAGTTACCAAACAAACTCTTAAAGAAATTCAAAATAAAAAGTGTGAGCGTAAAAGACGAACAACGGCCAATCCACAATTTAGTAATGCTGCTATCGAAGCTAAACGTATTAATGCCATGGAAGTCGCCGCAAAAAGAGCTAAACGTCGTGAAATGGCCGCTTCAGAGAGAAATGCCTCCGCTCCTCTTACTCGTATCGCAAGAAGAAATTCTCAGGTGCCTATTGTACCAATTCAACAATCTTCAATAAGGTCTTCTCTTAGACCCTCGACAGCGAGCTCTTCTCAACCTGCTGGCTCTCCATCATCATCATCAACTACTCCCTTCCACCAAAAGGCTGTCTTTAGACAATTCCCGAATTCCCCTTCTACTAATATGACCGTCGCACCGGACAAAAGTCGTAATTTAGTTGAGAGACTTAAATCAAGGTACCAATTACATACTTCGCCATACCAAATTAATCGCTTACCTAACTCATCATCTTCATCTCACAATAATATCAATAACAATACTTCTAATAATAATAATTTAAGATCAGTTAATCTTACCGTTGCTAAACCTTTATTGGTTAAGACGGTGCACAATTGTTACGCATGTTATGAATCCTGTGACCCCGATTTGGATGCAATTATGGCCTGTGTTGATTGTAGATGTTACTTCCATGCTACATGTGTCGCTAGTGTTGATGAAATTAACAAAACCAATTCGGTACCTTGTCCCAGCTGTGATAAAGAAACATCAACAACATTCGATGGTTTTAATTCACTTCCAGTCTCTGATGATCTCGACTCAAATTCAGGAAAAAATATCAGTAAACCCGAAAGAGAAAAACCTATTTTAGAGGAGGAAGAAGAAGATGTAGAAGATCTCGAGGAAGAAGAAGAACGTATGGAGGTAGAAGAAAATTTGACCATAAAGAATAACCCTCCTCGTCCAAAGGTTTTGACTCTTGAAGAAATTCAACGTAAAATTGGCCAAGGTAAAAACCCAATTATTGTGATGACTAAAGCTGAATTTCTCAAGAATCAAGCGAGAAATCAACCGCAAATTACTATAAAAACGAGAGAAAATTTATTGACTCGACAGAACGAGATTGCAAAACTCATCAATGAAGGTAAAAAGCGTTACAATGAACTGGCCGTTACTCTAAATGATTTAAAAGAGGACAAGATTAAATTAATTCAAGAGAGATCAAAAATTCAAGATTGTCTGAAAAAAGTCACAAATGTAATCAAATTGGTGAACGAGTCTGATGTTCAAATTGACCAAGCTAAAGTTAAAGACCAAAACAAAGCCCCCGAAGGTAATTAATTATTTTCATTCATTTTTATATTAATTAATCTTTAATCTAACAAAAGTCTCTCTCTTATTTTCAATTTCAAACGATTAATTTAATGCTTAATCATGTTAATTTTAGAATCTTTAATTTTACTTTTAAATTTCTATATTCAATTGTTTTCAAGCGTGAGATCTAAACCACGTGATTTGTTGTTCCCTTTACTTGTGACCACCATCTTAAATTATGGGGTTTCAACAATGTAAAGGAGACAATTTAAATTAGCTTTAATTTGGGATATTTTTTATTTACAATTTTAAGTTGATTTTTGTTTATTGATACAAATTATATTTACAAAATAATTAACACTTTTTATTATCTTTCATTGTTTTTAGAATCTTCTGTTGAAGTAAACGACAAGCCAAATGAAACCAATGGATCGGCAATTACATCTTCTGGAGAGCAGAAAACAGTAGAAAGCGAATCTTCATCCTCCGACGATGATTCTAGTGATTCCGAAGAATCTGATGATGAAGATCAATCAAATGTTACAAAAAAATCAGATGAAGATCCTGAAAAATCTCCTATACCAATTGACCAGATGAAAGATGAAGCAGTTAATGATATAAATATTAAAGATTTAGAAGAAGTTATGGAACAAGTCATACAAGAACATGAAAGCACTATCTCGGTAATTGAAGAGGAAGTAGAAGAATCACCAGAAGAAGATAAACCAATTGTTACTCAGGTTCTTGAGGAGGAGGCAGTTATAATCGATTCCGAAATGAAAGATGTTGAAAACTCGTTGACTGTTGATGAAACTATTAAAGTGGAAGAAGGTCCTTCTGAGGTGGCTCAGGATGTCGCTGAATTTGCTGTTGGGGAAGATGCAATTGTTCTTGAAGAAATAGACGATATTGGTGGAAATGAAGTTCTAATAACCACAACGGTCGAGGAAGAAAGCAATATGGTTATTCTTGGTAGTGAATCAGTTGCATTAGAAAAATGTAACCAATTCGACGACGAAACATCAGCTGCTGTTGCCTCCATACAAGACTTTGAAGTTGATAGTTTATGATTTTTGACCAGTAGTATTGATATTGTTTCTACTCTCAAAATTGCTGCCAAGAAAATTGACTCTCATCTAAATTCTTAAACAAAATTACCAGAGGCCAATCAAGTGAAAGTCCATTCACTCAACGAAAGGCATCTTGTTATGTGATCTTCTCTCTCATTATGGTTTATCTATTTTGATTCCTCTTCGATTGTTTCTCTTCTTATCCTTGATACAACACAAGAGTTAATCCGTGACAATTATTTATACATTTTCATGTACCGTGATCAAAACTTGTTCTCAATGTTGTGTTTCCAAGGATTGATTGATTTTCTGATATATATCTACTTCATCACCAAAAGGCTTAAGTTGAGCCAACCTTTATCTCGTCACTTATTCACTCATAATCTTATTCCTCTCCTTCGAGGTAACTGCATGCATATAACCAAACCCAGATAAATAAATTCTGAATCTTCAGATGTAATGAAATAGCATTCTCAATGGCAAACGATTTTCACAAATACAATTTCTATTTTCAACTCTTTTTTAGTTGACTATCCAACTAATCACAAATTGTACAATTTTTCATCAATTTTGTTGTAAAAAGATATACTCCCAACATCGAGAGAAAACTTAAATTATCAACCACCTCACATGTTATTTTACCAAGAAGGAAGGAGAAAAGAAATATAGTGAAAAAAAGTGATAAAATATTACTCACTCATGTAAAAATTATCTCAACTTTTAAGGACAATCTATTTCTTCACTTCGAAAACAAAATCTCAACCAAAACACAAATTCCAAGCACAATCTATACAGAAAGTTTAAAACTAATCAACATTATCGGATCTTCATCATTATCGATGTATTTCCCTTTTTTTTCATCGTCTTTGAAAACAAATCAAAGGAGAGGAATCATTTAAACCGCTGTTTCGATGACTATTTATGATTGACATTAATTCCTGGTCCATTTCAACAATAATTATGTTCGTTTTTTCTCTCTCTCTTTCCACTGCTAACCTTTCATTCACGAGTCAAAAGGCGTTTTTACCAAATAAGTGACCATTTCACCTTTACCCTTAATTAAAACTGGTCCTCTACACTCTAACTCAAGTGTTGAACATTGCATCAATATATCAGCCACTGATTCAGTTACATTTATACGTCCAATTACACCATAAGAATCCATTCGACTGGCAACATTAACCGTATCACCCCAAATATCATATTGAGGTTTAAGTGCACCAACAACACCAGCAATCACTGGACCTGAGGAGATACCAATTCGCAATTTAAACTCTTGCAATGCATCTTTATTTATTTGAGCAAGTGCTTCCATCAAGGCTGTCCCAAAGTTAACCAATTCCAACACATTGAGATTCAATTCCTCAAGACTAGAATCACTCTGGAAACGGTTGTGTGAAATAATATTTTTTATCGAATCAACAATAACACCACAAGTTTCAAAAAGAGAAGAAGAAGATAAACAAATAATCAGTAGTTTCCCGACGAATTGTGCAACAAAATTTTCACCAATAAGTTGACGATAAACGAACAAACCAGCATAATTAAGATAAAAACAAAAAGAAATATTAATTAATATATACACAACCAATACATTTATAAATATACAATTGATACATTATCGACATTGAAATAATGTAAACAACAAAAAGACTTGAGAGCGGTTTAACTTACAACACACACACAACATGCATCTTCATAATTTCATCATCATCATCACCTCATCATCTTAATTTTCTCTTATATATTTTTTCTGCTCTTCATTCCGTCTTCATTTCATGAAGACAACACAAAACCTTTTTTTCTCTTTCTCTTTCTCTCCTTTGTTTAAAAAAATGATCCACTATTATCATCTTCATCGCCATTCAATCAGCTGTTTGTCTTTCATCCTGATAAAATTCTTTTTTTGTTGGGACTTTCCGATCCCCTTTATTTTTCTTTTTTTGCTTCCTTTTCATCATAATCATCATCATCATCATCATTCTCATTCTCATCATCATCTTTGATCATCAAATACAAACCTCTTGATAATTGTATTTCCTTGTACTTTAACCAGAAAAACAACAACAAAAAACTTTTTTCTGCTTCTGAATTACATAACTTGAACTCGAGAAATAAATTTTGTAGATATTAATACATCTTTGGACACACTTAAAACAAAGCAAACAATATAATCTAACGATTTCTGAACATCTCTCTAGGAACTTAATGTTAGAAACATTATTTTGAACCAATAAAATGAACGTTAATTAAAACCACAAGAATAAAAAATTTAATTCCAATCAACAGAATCAACAACAATCTAAAGGTTAGACCAACTTTGTAACTTGAAACATATTAGTTTGTTCACGTTACAATTTAAAAATGAATTCTTGTTATTCTAATCAGTTAAACAATCAATTAACTAAAGATAATAAGTGAATAATTAATAAATTATGTTAATAATGAAAGAAACTTACATCGGTTGAACCTCGTCCAGGGTGTAAACCCGAAGCTGCCATGTAAGTACTTCCAATGGTTTTAATTTTTTCAATTCGTGCAAATGAAGGATCAGCTAGAAGCTAATTAAATAAACATGATTAAGCAGATATTCCTTCACAATTAACTCCTTACCAATTACTCTCCCTCGAAGTGATTAGAAATCAATTGCTTACCTTATCAAAATCACAGATAATTTCATTGAGTAGAAGTAAACATTTCAATCCTTCTTCATTGATATTTGTTTCGGTATAAAATTGAGCATAATTAGGAATCGAGGCAAACATAACAGCAATCGAATCATATGATTCATGATAATATCTTTGAGCTCCATTGAATGATGAATATAAGAATCGTTGGGCGACATGTTGAGGTAGAATATTATCAAGAAGGATTCGATTAATTTCGCCCATAACCAAAGCTTCGCGTCTTTCGACCTCCAATCTCGTTGTCCATTGGAATCCAAGTCGAAGAATATATTCAATTTGTCGATCGATAACATGAAGAATAATCGAAACTGTGACAATATAATAAATGTGACCTAAATCCGATCCATAAGCTAAATATTTCCATTTAGTTCGAGAATCAAGAATCGATATAACTGAACAATCTAAACTACTCAAAGTAATAAAGATTAACAATGCTGACAAATTAAGAGCCAATTTAAACCACATATTGATTCGTAGGAATAAACTAATACTCGTCAATGCCAAGATTAGACAGAACGTGTAATACTAATTGTTGAGAGGATCAATTAATTGGAAACAAAAAGAATTGAACAATTGATTAGATTATATTTTTTTTTTCTGTACTTTAGTTGATTGTAATCATTAAAATGATTCTTACCCAAGTGAAGGCACAATCAGCAAGACTTGTTGTTTTCTGATCTTTCATACAATCTTCCTAAGAGAGTAAATTAAAAATCAATTGTCATTGATTCAAGTTAATTGTTGACGATTTAATCGCTGCTCCTATTGTAAAACAAAAGTCCAGGCAATTTTGTTTTCTAATTGTTGTTAACTTACTCTAATCATGTCCAGTGTACCACAGAGTAAAAGCCAAACTGTAATCACAAACCAAATCATTACTCGAACTAAATATCTGAAAAGTAAACAATTAAACTAATCAGTTAATAATATCAACTTATTATTATCTGTATCTCAATCTGATATTATAACGGCGTTTACTTTAATTGTTGCCGCGTCCAGAAAGTATATGTCAAGGAGCCGGTGATAATGACCACGGTAACGAAAAATGTCCAAGTTAATTTAGACGAAATCGGCATGTTTGGTATAACGGTTTTAATTGCGACCATTGATAAGCAAATTAATCCAGAACAATAAAGATAATAGCGAAACAGTGGATCAGTTTGAATGGCGAACTGTCTTTCCATTTGAAATAAATTGCTTCCATATCGCTTGGTGAAAGTATTGGTGAAACTTAACAGAATCGGATTAATATCAGCTTGTCGAAGCCAAAGTCTGTAATTAAATTAAACTGATTGAATATTTAAATTGTCACCGAAAATGATTCAATGATTTCAACTTACGCTTTCTTCCCCAAAGGCATTTCATCAATTGTATCGGCAAGAAAATCATTGACATACTTGACCATTTCTCGATATTTTTGTAAACTGACCTCAAATGATTAAAAGGATCAAATTAATGATTACAATTAAGTTGATTTAAATTAGTGTGATGATTAATTTAACCGAAAATTAGTCATTGATTTAAGTTAATTAAAGGCTTACCTTTCAACGAGAACAGTTCGTTGTAGATTGGCAATTGTTAACGAGTCCATGGAAACGCTGTTCTATGGGATTGATAATAAAACCATTTCTAGATTAGCGACAATTAAAACTAATTCATTGGTGGAAATGATTTTAATCGAAGATGAATCTTACCTTAAAAACTTGCCTTCCATTTCGATATCCATAGGAAGTTCTAATATTGTAAGGAAGAACTCGAGGTGTAATCAAATAGGTTGATTCTTCATTCTCATGCTTTCTTTCTGGAACAATTAAAGTGAAATTAAGTATAATTAGAGGAATAGAATTAAGCAATTATTATGTTGATTGAATGACTTTACCTCTTATACAGAATTCTCGTCTCTCTGCCAGTGGAATCAGGTCAAGAGTGGCCTGAGTTATATGGACACTTCCAGGTACTCCAGTGTGCTCCATTTCGTTGGCGATCATTGAATCTTTTGAGAAAATATCATATTGCCATTTGTGGAGTCCAAGAAGTCCAGATAAAACCATTCCCGAGTGGACACCGATTCTCATGTCAACATCAACTTGAGTCTCTTCTCGAACTGATTTGATTATCGCAATCATTTCAAGACCCATTCGAACGCAATTAACAGCATGATTTTCAACATACTCAGGAACACCGGAGACACAATAATAACAATCACCAAGAAGTTTAATACGAAGACAATCATTTCTTTCCGATGATTCGTCAAATCGTCCAAACAAAGTGTTCAATGTTTCAACTAAATCATTTGGTGACAATTTAGCTGCCAAAAGCATTGAATTAACGATATCAGCATAAAGTATTGTGACATTTTTATATTTCTCAACATAAAGTTCATTGAAAGGTTTTTGTCGACTTCGTTGTGACCTTTCTTTCCGCTCGATAACCAATTTAATGTCATTACGAACCCGATCCATTAAATGGCGAGGTAAACACGATGATAAAAGGGAATCTTGTTGCTCTTTTTCATAATCTAATTTAAATTTAGATTCGACACAAGATCGATGGTCAAGAAAGGCCTTTCGATTAGCAATCTCAAGTAGAAAGGTCAAAAAGAAACCAATAAAAGCACCTAAAGAGTAAAATATCGTGTCTGCAATAGCGTAACGAATGATTGATGTTGATGCACAATCAGATTGAGCTCTTGATATGATTGTTAACAACAGTTCGAGTGAGACAATGACCAGAGTGCAAATACAAGCATGAACTCGAGATGGAAATGGCAGGAAAACGTGATTTGTCAAGATGATTGAAAATGTCGGTCGAATCCTTTGTAAAGGGTAGACCGTTTTGTCTCCAGTTACAGCGAAAAGAGCACCTCCATGTTCAGAGACAATCATGGCCACTAGAACGGTGAGTGCGGCAACGATTCGAGCGAATCGAGGACGAAGCCATTGCTCCTCGAGACAAGTTAATACTAGAAAAGCAAAGTAAACAACTAATGCTGATCCTCTCATTAAAGCTTCACCTGGAAAACTATTCACTTGCTGTTGAGAAATAGAAATTAAGACAATTAAGACTAATTATTGATCAAATTAACCATCAAAACTTAATAGTAAATCGTTTCAAATCTCAATCAGTTAATAGTTAACACGAATTCGTTTAAATTTTATTATTCTTGATGCAACAATTTATCAGAATTTAAGATTTAATTCAATCGTTTATTATCATTGATTCAATTGATTACTTGTTATCATTAACTGCTACTATTAATAGTTTCATCATTATTAATTGTTGTGACTAAAATTAGACTGATCGTCTTTTAATTGTTAAGAAAATTGTAACACTTATAAGACAAATGAACAAGGTAAATTTTCATTGCCTTGATAATTGAATTTGATTTAATTCTGTTCAAGGGATTAGAAAGACTTAATTACAATCTAATTGTGAAAAATTTTCCAGACAATTTACTATCAACAAGCATTAACTATCAGTTAATTTTTCACCTTAATTCATGGACTAACATTAAGATTAATTGATTAGAAAGTATCGTTTAAATTTCATTAATTATAATGACTGATTTAATTCTCGATTCGGTTGTTAATTGTCTAAGCAAATGATGATCACAATTAACTAATTATTATTTGAAGAAGAGAGAGAGAGTAATCAAGTAGAAACCACTAATTGTATATTGAGATTATTTAAACTAATCTGATTGTTGATCAAGTTGCTGTTAGGTGATTAAGATTATCAACTTTTAATCAACAATTCAATTGAACAACAAATTGACAGCCAATCAAGGGAAAAACTTGATTAACTTGAGACATTGTAATTGTAATGATGATGAAAAAGTAGCCAATGTTAATTGACATCAATCAAATTAATGATCACTTTAATTCATTGAAAATTATTGATACAAACAAAGTTTCTTACTTAATTGTTGATTTTGTTTGATTTCTTCATCATTATCATGAGACATTGATTATTGTGTATTCAAGGCTTAATCATTCAACAAGTTAGTTAGTTAATTCCAAACGTTAATCTTAATCTTAATGTTATCATAAATAATTATTAGTATTCTAAATTAATTGTTAACCGACCGGTTGATTGTTATATTAATAATTTAACAATGTATGTACACAAAAAGTTATAATTAGCAAATGGTTGAGGTAAACAATCAAATCAAAGCAATTTCACCAATTTAACAGGGCTAATAAGGTTAATTACTCAAGTTAATTGAGACAAAATCAAACTTTGAGGAGGTCTAATTACTATAAATATCAATGATTCAAATGACTAATCATATGGTTTTCTAAATCATAGTTAATCACTGAGATGATTTCCAATTAAATTATAATAATAACATCTAAATCAAGCTAATTGTCAAAGAGGAGAAAATGTTTATCATTGTTATAAGAATGAGGAAAATTGTACTATTATTATTTAGATTGATTAAGTTATCCAATTGGATTTTTCTTTTCGTTTCGTTTATTTTTGATTACGAACAATTAACTCACTTTATCCCAAAGGTAAAAAGCGATGGCAATTAGATTAAAGGAGATGTTGAGTAATAGTAAAACCATAAAGAAATTGTGTTGAAGTCGAGCTTGATATTTGAGGAATAATTTCTCAGAATCTTTTCCTGTGAATTCTGACTTGAGATAAATCCATGACCATGAGCGATCATCGATTCTTTCATCGGCAAATGAGGATTCGAGGGAATCATAACCTTGACCAGAAGAATCGCTTGAACGAACTGAGTGTATCCTGGTTAAGTGAATTAATCCTGGTGACATTTTATCCACATTGGAAGAACCCATTTTCTTTTATTTGTGGATTAAGATTAACAATCAACAATTAGACAACGAAGACTAATCACTAATCACTTTTACTCTCTTTTCTGGTTGCTGATGATTTTTAAATGCACAAAATGGGAAACAAAACACTAACCAATTGATTAGAATGGTTCAGTTGATAGTCTTTGGACACAAGATTAACATAATGATTACGAACTATGGATTAGTAATTAGATTTGAAAAAAAAGCAACAAGAATATTATTATTAGAATACAATTAATCTGGTTAAATCATTATTCTAATTGAGCAAAATTAACTTTTTTTCTTCTACTTTGAACTCTATCTTGATTCTTAACAACAATAATTAAAGTGAATCTCATGTAAGTATCAAGAATATTTTCTTCTCATCATCTTTTGCTCTTCTTCTTCTTCTTCTTCTCCATCATCATCATCATCATCATCATCATCAGTTAACTATCTTCTCTTTTAATTGCTGTTAATCTAATCTTAAAGTATTAGTTTATATTCCCTTTAATGGCTTACACAATTTGTAAGGAGAAAACGTTACCGTTCCTAAAGCATGTTTTCTAGAGAAGAGAAAAGGGCGGACTTAATTGCGATAGAATTGTGATTCCTTATCAATTAGGAATGTTTTAATTCGTAACATTTTAATTAACTATCATGCACTAATAATAATCAACAATCAAGAACCAAAAGTTACAAGAAAAGTACATAAATGTTAAAAGAAACAAAGAACTGTTTAGATTATTCCAAACGAGTGGACAGTTATTTTATCTTCATCTCATGGAATAGATAATTTATTAATTGTTGACGATCAAGTGAATTCCATTTATTTGAATTATCACAATTAAGAGGAAATTTGAAAACAATTGAAAGAAACAAATGAAAAACTTTGTTTCAGTTTCGAATAAAGTAGCGCCATCTAGTGTTCTTATTAAGAGTTTCAAGTTCGATTCGTAACTTGATTTTTCTTGAACCTTTTTGATTTTTGTTTCTCTATCCAATAATCAATCCTTTTTATCTGTCGACAAATTTTGTGTCTCCTTTTCGTTCAATCCTCTGTCTATTGTTTTCTTTTGTTAGTTTTCTTCTAGAGATCATCAGATATTGATGGTAAACTCAATATGTTTTAAATTGTATTACAAAAGTAAATTGTTTCAATAATTTGGTCAAATTAAACTTTCCCCTTCGAAGACCAAATCAGCTTATTAGTGTTTCGAGTCTCCATTTATAATCTTGATATTATCTAAATTTGAATAATCATATTTCTGATTCTTTGTCTCTCTCTCTCTCTTTCTCTCTTTCTTTCTTTCTCTTCTCTCTCACTCTCTCTCTGTTGGTATTAACCTCTAAAATCGTACCTCTTACTGTTTCTCTCTCAGTGTGTGTGTTTATTTATAAGACAAAATGACCTTTATGTTTAAAAATGATTCTAAACAAAATCGACTTGCGAATGGTCATCATGGTCTTTCGATGATAGTTAATTGGTTAACTTGTATTATATTTACCATTTATTTACCTTCCTTAATCTCTGGAAATAACAGTAAACCCTTTTATACGAAAAGTGATCTAGTTATCGATTCTTTTGTGATTAAAACAAACACCATCATACGAACCTCCGATTCCCTTAATGCAGGAGCCAAATATCTAAGTGAAACCGAAATGTCCTCCAGCCAACAGTGTCTTCTTTGGTGTTGGGATAATCGTAACTGTACCCTTGCAGTTTATGAAGAAAAGGTAATTCATTATATCACCAATTCATGTAATCAAATTATCAACATCAAACCAATAGTTAACTATTAGTAACAGTAATTGATTTAATCTTTGACAATTGTTACTTTGTCAACAAACATTTTATGATTTTCCTCATTTCATTTTCGCACCATTGATCCAATAACAGTGAGAAAATTTTTATCACTCCGTTAATTGTTATTAGGTGTGAACACTATTAACTATTATCAGTCAACAATTAACAAATGTGATGACAATAAATTTGTTGTTTTCTATTTCTATTTTTATTGTTATTGATTTTTTTTTCTTCGTCTAATTTGATTTGCTTTTATTTGTCCTCTCTTATTGTATATCTTTTAATTGTTTAAAGAGTCAAGGAAGTTGCTATTTATTTGATTGTGGTCCACCTGACCAGATGAAATGTAAATTCACTGGACATGATCATTATACAAGTTCATTGATAAAATTTAATCGATACTCTGTTGATGGTAACACGATTGACCAAAGGAATCAGGCTAAACACGAAAGTGATCTGGTCAATCTAAGATCAACCTCAACCTCAACAACTTCAGCAAAGCCAATTCCAATTTCTAACAACAATTCCAACGGTGTTTATGTTACATCAACAACCTCTGGGAGTTTAATTCTTCCACCATCTTCAGGATTATCACCGTATACATCTACTTCCGCGTCAATCAATGGTAACTATGAGATCGATAATTTGTCACTCGATGAGTACTTTTAATAAGATTTGAAAATACATAACTGATTTGGAATCGATTTGACATAATCATTTTAACAATTTCTCTTATTTAATTACAGCTTGTAAACGTCATCAATTTCAATGTCGTAATTCAAGTGATTGCATAGCAATTTATAATGTTTGTGATGGGATTGTTCAATGTTCCGATGGATCTGATGAAGCTGTTGACCTGCACTGCCCATCGGAATCAGTTTATACTTCAATTGAGTCTCAAGTGGCGATTCCTCCTCCTAATGGTGGATCAAATCATCAAAGATCAGCATCACCTCCAATTGCGGCATCACCTTCGTCATCCTCGTCATCTTCCTCGACATCAGTCTCATCTTCTGTACCTTCGTCGACAATCAACTTTTCAAACTCCCCAAATAAAAATGAGATGAAGGAAAATGAAGTAACTAATGGAATAAAAAATCATCCATTCGACTCCAAGAAACCAATCGATGCGACAGATTTCAATTATCCAAAGAGCCCTGACTTTGTGAATGACCTGAAAGAGAATGGTAGATTACCGATGAATTCGCATAAGTTCAACGACTTTAATCCCGGTCGAGATAAATTTGAGGCTAAATCATATTATCCAAATTACGGAGGACAATACTATCAACCACCCCCACCGCCACCACCACCGCCGTCATCTTTGTCAGCTCCTGGTGCTCATGGTGATTTCTATAATGGACCAAGACCGCGAGGATTTCCCGATAGTGATTATCCTAATAACTTTCCTCGAGATGTCAACTATTGGCAACCAGAGACTGGGTTAGTTGGTCCTAATTCAAATATGAGATCAAACAATTTAGATCACAGTTTAATCAATTCAATTTATCATCAATATCGGTCACCAAATGAAATTGGACCAATGAGCGTTAATGGTAACGACGGAATAGCTTCTCACCCTCAAACTTCACCACTTATAAGGAGTGTCCCTGGTCTAAAAACTCGTACATAGATTCTTACCCTCACAAGCCGAGTGAAACACCAAACAATCAGAATAATCAAGTAACTGGTATGGAATTGGCAGAGAATCAAGGGTCAGTATCAGGTGGAGCAAATAACGACGGTAATAATAATAGTAATCGACAAAATGTAATGGCTCGAACAGCTCAGGAATATTCACCACCAGTTCGAAAGGCCAAAAATTCCCAGTCATTCGCGGATGATCTAAAAGAACACGCAAACAAGATAGAAACGGGCACACGAACAGTAGCACCAACAACAACAGTGCAACCGATTGTCAGTCCAACACCAACGCTTCAAGTAGCACCAAACAAAGCGGTTGCACATTTGAATTCCGATAAGATGACCAACGATTGGGAAATGCCGATCGCGGTCACACATTTAAGTAGCTCCCAGTCGGGTAGAGACACAAATTCAGCGGTCATTGCGCTGGTTCTCGGAGTTGGCATAAGCGCAATGCTGATCGCACTGGTCGGTTGTCGGATGAAATTCATAAAGAGACGAATCGCCCGGCGAGGTCGCAATTTAGCCCATGATGCTGATTATCTTGTCAACGGAATGTACCTTTGAAACCAAAGTATTAAAAAGAAGATGACAAACAATTAAATCAACACGAGAAAAAGGAAGAGAGCGAAACAACAAAAACAAGATAAATGTACTATTTTGACCCCGGCGAAAAGCGATGAGGCGACAGTTTGACCTTACGAAAAGACCACAAAGAAATAAGCTTAGCTTGACACAGAAAATTCCTTTTGTTTTGTAGCTACAATCAGTTACCATTTTCAATCCGTTTTTCTTTCACTTCTAAATTTGAAAATGTTAACCCATTCAAAGAACAGGTAATTCATTCCCTCTGAATGAAATCAATCAAAATACTAAATCAATTAAATTGGATGGAAATTTTCACTCGATTAAACCTTTATAATGGATTTTGTAATCAACCACAAAAATATATAGAAAGTGATGACTGAGATAATGAAGCTTAATTGGAATAGGAAAGGAATAGAAATTGAATTTCATCATGTCAGCCATCACTTGGAATCCTTTGTTTTTTTTTCGTTGACACTTTCCCTTTGGGGCTAAAGGTTGATCTTAAAAATGTTGGGATTTAAAAAAAAAGAGGATAAATTGATCAATTTTGTTGTTTATTTATGTAAATAAGCTAATCGATTTAACTGGATTAGTATTGTACTACAATTGAGACAATTTCATTAATTAAATCACAAGATGTAAAAAAAAATATCTATTTGACAAAATGTTTACCTTTTTTTTTTGATCAGAGTAAATTTCATATATTACTTTCACTGTCACTGTCACTTTCACTTTCATCCGTTGATGAATTATGGTCAGTCTCATCGTATTCAGCAATTGATTGAATAAATGACATGACCCTTGGCCTCCAATGGACAATCCATTTAACTTCAACCATTTCGGTCGGTGGATTAGCTGATGCTCCATAATTAAATCTGTTGACCGGTTGACCTCTTTTCCCTTGATAAGGATATGGATCTCGTTTTTGGCCTAATGGTCCATAAATCAATGGATTAACGGGTATTCCAGGGTAAAAAGGGACGTCCACTTGTTTCTGGAACCTCGAATCGCTGTTTAAACGTTGACATTTATTATTGAAATCTCTCAATGTGGACAAGATTCTTGCGTTCACATCTTTCACTATTTTCGCCTGAGTTTTTTTACCTTTTCCCATTTTAATGAGCCACCCACAGGAACTAATTGTCAGGTTTCACTAACGGAACAATAAAATAACAATTAATAAATTTGTACCAATTCAATTGAAAACAAAATGATTTTAATTACAATCAGAAAAAAAACTCGCGCTTCTTTAGTTTCGCTTATCCATTTAAACGATTTTCGATTTTCTCAAACAATCGATTTTAAATCGAACAAATAATTCGAAAGCGGTTTATTTAAAATCTAATTAAAAAGACGAAAAAAATTATTAAATTAATTGTTTGTTACAATTAAAATATTCTTGTAAAAGTAATTGGCCTAAACCCTCATGGTTATAACGAGATTAATTAGTTTTACTCTTTTGTTGAAGTTTTAAACTTGGAAAGCGAAAATGTTTCAAATTTCGAGGTTTTTTCAGTGCGAAAATTGTAAAGATAATTGAACAGTTCTACAAATTCGAGCTCTCATAGGAAAGGTTGGTCTTTGTGTCATGAGAAAAAATATTCAATTAGATTAGTTTAATTGCAGCAATAATTAAGAACACAAAATCTGTTCATTTTGGACCGATCATCTTACAGTTTGGTAATCATTAACTCTTCTCACAACTTTTGGGTAATTAAATGTTAATTAACACCAATTAATCTTGTTATATTTTTCCTTCTTGATAACCTTCAATTTTCTTGTTGATTGTGATCAAAGTTTGACACTGATATCAGAATTTACTCGATATTAATCATTGAATAAATAAACTAAAGATGAGTTTGTTTTGCCGAACATAAAAAACGTTAAGAAATAAAATTAATTCCTCAATTATATCATGATTATTTTCCAGTAATTCACCTTGAATCAACTAGTTGTGTGAAGAAAAACAGAAAACCAATTGCTGATTAACAAGATTAGATATTTGAATTGATTGCCAAACAATCAATCTAAATTGAAATGTAAGATCAACTTAAAGCTATGAATTTAGAAAATATCAATTATTATCTTATAAGTATCGAAATGTTCAAAATGAGGAAGATCAACAAAATTGATTCCATTAATTTGAATATGTCATCATTAATCAACTAAAAGTAACTCTTGAAACTATTTCTACAGAGTGTTAATCACTCAGCTTGAATTTCAGCCTAATTACTTACTAGTTGTTACAATTTGCCCTTCAACTGTCAACTCTTTTCATTGTTACTTATGGACGATTCCTGAAAAATTGCCATTATGAAAATTGACCACCAAGATCACTAACCAAATTAATGGACTTTGATTGAGCTCATTTCGTCTTAAATGAATAATTTTTGATTAATCATCAAATCGTTTGCTGTTTATTGACGATCTTTGCAAATTACTGCTATTTGAGGACATAAATGGTCAAGATTTCACTCGATTGTCGATTCAATAAAAATCACTAATTAATCACGAGATTAATCAACGATCGTTGATTACGATAATTAAGACTTGTCGTAAGCGCTTGAAAACGTTGTTTGGTTTTGTAAGTTTTGTGAGTTAAGTTTTGATTGTTTGATTTTTCGCGTAAATAATAACAATTAGTATTCAAATTTTGATCTTTTTTACATTTTATTTAATTAGATTGAATTGTTTCCATTATAACACAATACTAATTAGATTTAATTGACCAGCTGATTTACACAAACAACAAAGTTAATTGTTTATCCTCAACCAGAGGATTTCAACGGTTCTGTTATAACTTAAGATTCATCTTAATGTATGAAGGTAAAAATTTCAATCAAATATTCAATTGAATGTTGATCAATTCTAATTGTTGATCGCTAAAGTTAATTGATCCATGAGAGTAATTACCATGTGCGATATAAATTGACTTGTGCAGATCAATTGTTTGTTTGTTGACAATTTTGGTTAAATCAAATTGTTCGTTTGTTTAATTGACATGTTGAATTGACTTCCATTGATTTAGAATCTTTTTTTCTTCTTTCTTTTCAAGAAAAAGAAAAATTAACAGAATTTTGATCAAGATTTTGATTAAAATATTATTGACGAGAATCTAATAGTTCACATGGATTAAGGAGAGAGAGAGAGAGAGAGTTGGAAAGAGGAACAAGTTGAATCAAATTAGCATTCGGCGGGAATTGTAATCACATATTGACTGAGTAATTAAAATTATCTGATAATGAGAACACACAAAGAAATAATTAGAATCTTTGCAATTAATCTCCATTATCAGATAAATCTTTACAGTTATCTTTGTTTTTAGTTAATTAATTTGTTCATCTATGGTTAATTAATTGTTGACGTAGGTTAAATCCATTTGATTCTTGCAGCAAATCTTCATTCTTACAATAATGAGAAAATAAGAAAAGTAAAGTTAAAGCAAAAGACAGAAAGAAATCAAGTTGATTAATTGATTAGATGCACGGCACCAAAGTTAATTTACCAAATCATAGATTGTAACTACAATCAATGTTTTCGATAAATTTTGTTTCTTTAAGAACGGGTCAGGTTTAAGGTCAAAATTTTGGGTAAGGGTTTTTCTTGCTTCGATAATCTTAATAGTCTTGATCATCACATAGTCGCATTTGAAACCATGTTTACAACCGGGATTAGATTATTAGTTAATCTGTTAATGCTCATTAAAGCCATAAATTAAGACTCTGGATTCTGTAGGTATCAATGTACAGTAAAACAGAATCGATTTGAAAAATATGCATCGGGTTCAAATTATGAGTTAGATGTGGATCAGGAAAACTAAATCACTCAACGATTAAATGAGGTAGCGTCTTGATCCTAAGCGGCTTCAAGATCCATGGGAATCTTTTTGTCTTGGGGTTTTGTTTGTATCGCAATTTTGTCTTTGGAAATGAGAAGATTATGTAGAAAATTCATTTATAATATCGTCCAGTTCGATTAGCGCTTGTAAATATTGTTTAGATAAACGTTCAGAGAAAAAAGGTAACATTGGTAAAAGTCCTTCCATGAAACCGATGTGTCCACCTCGATGAGTAACAATTAAGGCAACATGACTTGATTTTTTCACTTCCTCAATAGGTAATGCTGTTAAAAAGTGATTTATAAAATGAGATAAAAAGAAATAGTTATTAATTCTGATAGTTATACCAATTTAAAAGAGATCATATCAGTTCCATGAAGCAAAAAGAGAGATAAATCAATGACTAATTTCAATTAACTAATCATCTAAACTTTTCCCTCATTCAATGGATGATCGTTTAAGTAGTTATTAATGAAGTTTTTTACAATCAAGATAATTAACTTACAATTTATCGGTGCAAACATATCATCAGCTGCATTTATACAAAGAGTTGGTCGTTTAATGTAAGATAATTTAGTCTTTGAACTTGCTTCTCTGTAATATTGTTCGGGTGTTTTAAAGTTCCACATTTTAATTGTAAATCTTTCATCAAATTGTCTTAAAGTTGCACTTTGTTGTACTTCATTGTAATCAATGTGATGACATGATTCCAGGATGTGCTTCTGTTCCCGAACCACTCGACACAAAGATCGGGCCAAGTGCTGATTAAGTAGCATATTTAATCCAGGTTTACACATACTATTACAACCCTCGACAAGATCATAGCAAACTGAGATTAGCATTGCCGCATCAACCAGTGCATTGGCACCGGCTTGAATTAAGTATCTACATAAAACTATCCCACCAAGGGAAACACCGGTGGCGACTATTTTCGCCTTTGGATATTTGCCCTTAATATATTTGATTATAAATTCAACATCTTCACAATTAGCTGCACAGTAAAGTCTCGCTGTTTTTAATTTCATTCCACCTCGTCCTCTGTTATTAAAAGCCACAGATCTAGAAAAAGAAAAGGAAAAATATCAATTAGTAAATCATTCAATTGGTAAGGGGAAAACGTTCTCAAATTGTACTGATTTTATCCAGGTAAATTGTATTGTATTAACTTTTAATTATCACTTAATCATTAGCAAAGATTTACCTTGAAAAGCAAAATTGAACTTTGTTTCGGAAATTTTGAAATAATCAGACTGATTGTATCAAGCTCAATATGACAATAATATTAATTTAAGAGACTATCAATTTAATCTTAGCCTTGATCTGGTTAAGTAATTTAGAGAGAGAGAGAGAGAGAGAGAGAGAGAGAGAGAGAGAGAGAGAGAGATCTATTAAAACGGTAATTTCTTTCGTTGGAAAATTAACATCTTGGTTGTTTATTATCAAGAAAGATTCAAATGAATGATTGTTTGATGTTTTAACTAATTTGAATTAAATTCTGGTATGTTGATTAAAGAGAAAACAAGTAAACTCATTCAATTGAATCGAAATGATCATAATGATGGTAGGATGACAATTATAGTGACACACGATAAGAAACCTTGAAAAATGCTAATGATAATAACGTGAGTTATTAACGGGTCATCATAATGAAGAAACAACTTCAACTGTTTCTTTGAGTACTTTAAATGGTAACTGACCTATAGCCGAGAGCGTGAGCATTTGGAATCAAACTCTTGATGTATTCAGTCTGAGAATCGCCAGTTAAACCAGGCATAAATAAAGCTATTGGCCGGTTTTCATTGTTAAACTGATCCTTTGGTTGGGGTGGACCATCATACCAATCCAGGGAGACTTGTCCACCATCAGGAAGGTCAACGATTTCTCTGAAATGCATGAGAAGAGAAAAAGAACAAGAACAAGAAGAAGAGAAGAAACAAGAGAAAAGGTTACCATTAGTAACATGAAAACAAGAAATTTAGTGAACAGGGAAAATAAACTGAAGCATGATGATGATGAGGATGATAAACAACTTAAAGAAAGAAAATTATATTCAACTGAAAAAGGAAAAGGTTTGGTGAAGATGAGGAAGACAGAAAAGAAACATAATCAGGAGTGAGAATGTTTATTGATTTTTCTCTTTCGTTTCTCATATCAGACCTTGTTTTCTACACTTTATTTACTATAATGATTAACATTGAAATCGAATCATTCTAACCTTGCCCTTAAGGTGAGAACCTTGAACCTTACGAATATTTCAAGTCCAAATTGTTGGATAAAATCACCCGATAAGTAACATGATAATAATGTTATATTATTTTGATGATAAAACATTCAAATAATAGTATCAACAGAAACCTGATAGTTGGACAATTTGTAAATAGCTTGGACTAATCGAGAGTAACGAATTAAATTATTTCTTTGTAACCTTGAAAATAGTAAATTACATAGACATCAAATTGATTTACCAATAAACTAAATCTTGATGATAAAGGTATAGAATTAAAGTTAACCTTGAGCTATGAGAATCTCAATTGTTTCTTTCTTTCCTTCATGTTAATATAAATTGAAAGAGACAAGATCACAACGATAATATGAATATATTATTGATTTACATGGTTGATGGGTAGATGAACTCATTGATTTTTTTCCTTATCGAGTTGAGTTTGAAATAAAACTCAAGATGAAACATCATTAGGAGGTTCCAATAGTAATTTTCGTAGTTAATTTTCAGAAAATTAAATTAAATTGTCATAAGATTTAATCGCTAGAACGAACCACCAGCAACGAAAACTCAATAAGTGTGTAATGAGATTAAAAGAGTTTTAGTAAAAGTAAATTGTTACAATTAAGATAATTAACTGGTTGAATGTCAATGCTAAACTAGGCTTGTAAAAGTATTAATATAAACAAAAGATTATTCAATTTGATTAGTGAGCTTGAAAAACTAAATTAATTGTAATTTATCAATAAAACGATATCTAGTCAATATAATTACAATTCTGAATGAACTTTCACCGTTAAACATGATTAGTACTCGTTAACTGATTAAATGAGTAATTGCTAAACACCCTTGATGGAAATTGTGATATGTTAAATTACTCCGATGAGAGTAATAAATTAGGAACTGATTAGGAATGAAAAAAGAGACTAGATGAGGTCGATTAACAATTAACTTAAATAAGAAAGGAAAGTTATTGGTATCGTACGATTTTATCGATAACTCAATTATTCGTGTCAATTGATAATTGTCAACAAGCTGAAATTTAACTGGTGAATTGCAGGAAATCATTTGATGATTGATTGATATGAATCAGCAAATGAATATAAACCAACAAAGACTTTTGTTTATCTTTCGTAATTGTTTCAACGATCGTTGAGAATCTTAGAGTAAAATGTATGAGGTGATTTTCAATCAAGAGTTAGTTCAAAGTACTAACTCTTTTTTCAATATTTACTATTCTCTTCAAGAGAAAACTGGTGATCTGAGTGAATTAGTCATTAATATTTTTCTTGTGAAGAAATCAGAAAGATTGATTAAGTTGATAGAAAAATTTTTGATCTAATTGATGAGAGAGAAATGATGTCACATTAATAGGTTGATGTTCATTATTATTGTTGTTGCTGTTTAGAGTGAGTGAGGAAGACGGATTATGTTTTTTTTCTGGTTTGATTGTCGGATGATCACTATTTTGTAACGAGGACAATTGAGTTTAACCAAGAAATCAAATTAATTTCCAATAAAAGGGAACACAATTACCTTTTATAACGGAGATTGGGCATTGCTCCTCTTATTGCATTGGCGATTGCTGTTTGAGCGTGTGTATCAAAACACCAAAGGGTAGGATAAAATTTTTCTTGAATAACGGGACATTTTTTCAATACAAATGAACTGAATTTACTTTCACGGGCATGGAAATCGGGTTTCTAAAGGAGAGAGAGAGAGAGAGAAAGAAAGACATCAGTTTTTGTTTGGAAATACATAACAAGTTAACACGGAGAAAATTTTACCAACCTTTACGACTTTAAGAAGATAATAAATAACATATACAATTGCGAAAACAAACGCAATAGCAGATCGAGGATTTGAGGCATAGATGAGCCAAGCATTATCTACACTTAAATCTAGATATTGTTTAAAATCTAGAATTGGAAAATGATCAATAATTGACAGAGCAGTTGCTCCGGTAACAGATCCAAGGTCCGGCATGATTGATGTAATGACAACAACAGCTACTTAGTAGAAGCGATGATGATGATGGGATAGAACCAACGATAAAAAAAACAGAGGATACTCTCCAAATGATGAAGATGGATAATAAACACAAAATTTCCTTCAAAAGAATAAGAAAATCATTTACACAGGTAAGGGGAAAAAAACAAAGGACGGGCTTAGAATTCAAGTAGAAGGGTGTAACTCTCAGTAAGAGACACTTGACTGGAATAAAAAAAAGGTAGAGAGAAAATGTTAACAGTTAATCAGCAATTTGATAAACGAGATACAAATAAATAGAGTTTAAAAAGAAACATAGAAAAGAAAAAAAAAGAACACAAATTGAAAAGAATTATAAAAAAAAACCAATTGGACAGAAAAAAGAAAGATGAAGGATGAGAGATGTTGATGTTACTTTGGTTCTCTTATGGGAAAAAAAGGATAACACTTCCGGCGAGATGAGAGTAATTTTTGTTCGATGTTACCAAGTGAAGGAATAATTTTGTTTAATTAAATTGTTTCGATGCAGGTTCAGGATTAACTGATGAAGCGATTGGTGGTCTTGGATTGTAATTAAATGTTGACAATCAGTGAACAATCAACGGTTAACAATTAACCTCCAAAAGGACAACAATCAGTTAAACCTTTTCCAGAACCCTGACTGTCAGCGCCCTCTACTTACGCTCTTTGAGATGACGCGGCTGATCAGCTGTTAATTGTTCAGTTTCCAGGTTCATGGGTTCATCTCATTTGTTTAACAATTTAAATAAATTCATTTGGAATTAAATTCATTTTGTTCAACCCTTTAGGTTCAATGTAACCAGATACATTTGGCAACATGGCGACTCGACTTGATAAGGTGAGTGTTTACATTTTTACCTCTTCTCAAGTTTGATGATTGTTTTTAGTTTATCAACTAAATTTAATGTAACACTTTTGGATTGATTGATTTATTTATTATTAGTGTTTTGTGTTTTTAATTGTATTGGTTTACTAATTGTTTTTGTTTTTGTTTTGTTCTTTCTATTTTTTTAGCTTGATTATCTTGCTCTAGATCAACAGTTATCTCGTTCCTTTTATGATCAACTTGAACAATCTTTAAAACCATTGGAACAAAATTTCAACATCTTCTCTTGGATTAAACCAGAGTTTCGTTTAATTTTAAATGGTTACCTTTATTTTAATTCATTGTTTTCTGATGAATCTACATTGGGACAAAAGATTTATAATCTCAAAACAATTAGTACATTAGCTAATTCTAATGGGACCTTGAATAGGTTACAAGTTTACTCTATTGGTGCCATAACTGTTCTGTTACCTTATATACGTGAACGGTTTTCTCGTTCAAGCTTATTGAATAATAAGTTTACCTATTTATTGGAAGATGTTGTTAAATTTGGAGAGTTAATTAATTTCATGATTTTCTTACAAAAAGGTCGACATCCGTATCTATTGTATCGACTACTTTTTTTGGACTGTGCTCTTATACCGGGAAAGAAAAGGATCCCTTTAGATTTTTATCTAATCAACAGGAATCTTTTATGGACTTCAATTTCAGAGATATTGTCTTTCCTCATTCAAATAGTTGATTTTAAACGAATTGGATTAATTGTCAAGCAACAAGTTACTTCTAAATTGACTTCGTCTGTTAAGTTATCAAATGAAGAGACCAGGAAACCCAAAGATTACCGGATATGTGCAATTTGTGACAATTGGCCCAATAATCCGTATCACATTGGATGTAAACATATATTTTGTTATTTTTGTATCTACTCTGACTTTTTACAATATGGCGGATCAAGTTATTCTTGTTCACAATGTGGACATAAAATAGATGATATATCTCAAATGAAGCAACTCTACATGAGTTGGACTGATGTCTAACATACAGTTCATCTCAAGGTCCAAATTTTAACGACAACATGACCACCAAATTTTTCCATCTCATAATTTTTTTCATCCAACAAGAATTGGAACAATACCAAATGAGATGACCAATAACGGTAAAAGATAATATTTTGGTACCAGAAATGAGACTGAAGATGTTAAATCCACCGTATCATTACATAAACCATGAATCCATGAACCAATCACCCGACTCCAGATCATTTTTCTATCATATATTTTCGTTAGCGCGGACATACAACTATGATAAGCAATTAAATTGTCACAAATAACATCAGATTGAAGACGAATCGTTTTCGATATAAGTAAAGGCCATTGATTATCCACCTTTGGATTACAATTAGTGTCCTTTTTCCGCCATTCTTCCACTTGGTATCCAACAGCTATAAGTTCTGATAAATGACCACAATTAAAGGAAAATTAATCAACAATCAAAGTATAAATCTTCAAACTCACCTCTCAGTCCATATGAGCTGTTGGAACACAATGTTTCAGATACTCTATTCAAAGCATTTATATTCCGTCTCAATGCTTTATAATAAGGATAAGTGAGACACTTTGATAGAAATGCAGAGTAACAATTGATAAATTCATCAAATCCACTGTAAATAATGAAAGAATCTCATTAGTTAAATTGTTTTCTGTAAATGGTGATTGATTCTCATACCTGCAAACCTCATCGGTCATGGTAACATCATATTTTAACCTTGGTTCATCAATAAATGCTTTAATTGTTTGAAAATTTCTTTCATCAAAAGCATAATAACAATTAACCATATCAGAACTTGGATCACAGGTTAAACATGATTTAATCAAAGATGCGACAGTAAAAATAACAATTGAAACAATTAACCTGTTGTAACTCATGAGAGTTTGAAATGATTAAATTGTAAACAGATCAACACAAATCACAATAGACATTAAATCAACTAAACAAGATTGTAAACTGGTTAAGGATGTTAATTGTTTCATCAATAATCAAGTCAAGAAGATGCGGATTTCCGGTTTTTCAATTTTCAATTGATCAATTCACATAATCAATTTAAAGTGTAAATAAAGATGATCACAGATTATTAATGTATTAATAATAATAAATTTTTAATTATCTTTTTTAAGCCTTAATTTAGATACTTTTTTTGTTAATCATTTTACTCGGCAATAAATTTGTTTTCCATTTAATTGATTGACTGTTAATTTTTTGAGAGGTTGATTATCTGATTTAGATGAAAACAATTCAATATTATTTGGTTCCAAAGATGAAGTTGTATCCGAGAGGATTGAGGAAACCTAAGAGGAAAGAGAATAAAAAAAAAATGTTTAATTGTAAGAATATTAAAAGAGAGAGTTGATTGTTAGTTAACTTACTGTTGTCTTCAAATCAAATTCAATTAAAGGTTTATAATGAATCGGGTTTTCAATGATAACTGTCGCTTGTTTTGGTGTCACTCGTGGCGAAGGTAAAACTTCAATATTAAAATAACGGCAGAAAGGAAATTCAATTGAATCACAATTAATTGTTGGATATTGATTGTTAGTGGAAACAACGATAATTTGTTTATGTAGTTTAAGGAAATCATTGGCTGATGAAAGAGTTAATCGAGAACCATTGGCAGAATTGAATATGAATAAGTTTCCATGATGAACGTTGAACATTGTTTTGAGTAGTTCGATTAGATAGGATTCGCTGGAGATAACTCGACATCCGACAGGATTTTCCAATAGAACTGTTCCTTTTTCGAGTGAATTTCTATTCGGATCGGCGAATAAAACGTTCACATATCGACAAAGAGGAAGTTCTTGAGGTTCTGAAAAGGTCGAATCATCGGTTTCACTTGCAGTTCGTTTGATTAGAGCGAGAAAGTTTCTTCTCCTTGAGATCTGATTCTTCTTTAATCAGAATTTTGGTTAAACTGGACAATTCTTTCATCGGTTTAATTGGTGAGTTAACGGTACTTGAAATGTATTCAACAAAGCTTTTGATGATTCTATCAAGATCATTATCTGATGTTGAATAGAAGACAGTTATTTCATCGGTAGGAACTAAATGAGCTTTTTTCTTCAACTTTTGAATTCGATTGATAACTTCTCGAGCTATTCCTTCATCCATCATACTCTCGTCAGGAGTAACATCAAGAATAACCAGAATATTTCCTTCGGAAGATGCTATATACTTTTCGGATAAAATGTTACCCGAATCACCACCAAATTTATACGTCAAACGGATTTCACCAGGTTCAAAAATAACACTGTTAATGGTGAACAGATTAGGATTCTTTTGGTATTCTCTCAATCTTGTATCAGACAATTCTCTAATTGCTTTGATAATGTCTTTAGATTTGTCTCTCAATCGGATACCAAGAGCTTTTATATCGGGTTCTGCTTTTAATTCGAGGCCGTACTTTTCCTTGTCATCAGTAATTGTTATCTTTCGTACATTCAGCTCTTCTAGGATATACTTTTCCATTGCTTTAATATGATTCAGCGTTTCTTCATCTTTACTGATTATAATTATCTCGGGAAGAGGATATTTCAATGGTAAAGTTTTACGATCACGTAAAATCCGTCCAATCTCAATAACGGTCTTCATTGCAGATACTTGACTTTCAACTTCTTCATCAATCAAGGCCATTTGAACATCTGGAAGCATCAAATGATGAATTGATTCAGTTGAATCGGCAGCATTGAAAAGATTTTTCAAATTACTGTAGATATGTTCAGTTAGGAAAGGCGTAAATGGAGCCATGAGTCGGACAATTGACATTAGAACTACGGCCAGTGTTTCTAACGCTGTTAAACAATCTTCTTCTCCCTTGTCAGCCTTGAATCGTTTACGGTTCATTTTAACGTACCAATTTGTTAGATTTTCAATGAAACCAACCAATTTGGGCACAACGGTGTAAAGACGATAAGCTTTCATTTCTTGCTTAACGAATTTGATTAAACTTTGGGTAAATGAAAGAATCCACCGATCCATAGGATTTTCGGGTTTACTTAATTGTGAGGCATCGAAAATAACACTTTTACCAGTGTTTTTCTCGTAAAGTTGAACATTTTGGATCAAGAATCGATAAGCGTTAAACCAGGGTAAGAAAACCTCCTTCAAAACATCTCGAACACCTTCCTCTTTGAATTTAAGACTTTCCGCTCGAACTACCGGAGAATTGATCAGATATAATCTCAGAGCATCGGCACCATATTTGTTGACCACTTCCAAGGGATCGGGATAATTTTTCTTTCTCTTGCTCATCTTTTGTCCATCACTGGCCAAGACTAGCCCATTGACGATAAGATTTTTGAAAGGTGGACGGTCAAAAAGAGCAGTGGACAAAACTAGAAGAGTATAGAACCAGCCTCGAGTTTGGTCAACACCTTCGGCAATAAAATCGGCAGGGAAATTTTCATCAAACTTTTTCTTATTTTCAAATGGATAATGAGCCTGAGCATAAGGCATAGATCCACTTTCAAACCAACAATCGAAAACCTCTTTAACTCGCCTGAGAACTTGTCCTTCTTTCTTTGAGGGTATAGTTATTTCATCGACAACCTCACGATGTAAATCGGTCACTTTAACACCGGACAATTCTTCTAATTCAGCAATTGATCCAATGACAACCACCTCAGATCCATCTTCGTTCATCCAAATAGGAATTGGAGTTCCCCAGTATCTATTTCTTGATACTGCCCAATCACGAGCGTCTTTAAGCCAATTAGCGAATCGTCTTTCTTTCACAAAATCAGGAACCCAATAAGTGTCTTGATTATTTTTCAAAAGTAGACTAGTCATTTGTTCAACTCTAATAAACCACGAAGGAATAGCCCGATAGATCAATGGTGTATCTGATCTCCAACAAAATGGATAACTGTGTTTCGTTGTATTGGCCTGAACAAGTCGCTTCTTCTCCTTAAGGTGTTTAATGATATTCTTATCAGCGTCTTTAACATGTTGACCGACAAAGTCAACAACAGGGTCAACAAATCTACCGCTATCATCAACCGGACAAACCATTGGACCTTCTTTGGTGATGACACCATAAGATAAACAAATACGATAATCGTCTTCACCGAAATAAGGAGATTGATGGACAATACCGGTACCACTTTCACTGGTAACATAACCATCACAAAGTACTCTGAATGATCCTTCAGCTTTTCGAGAAGCAAAATATGGGAAAAGCGGCTCATACTTTTTACCCTCCAAAGTTTTACCTTTGAATTTTTCCAATATTTTATAATCATCGGGTTTTCTGAAGAGCTCAGTTAATCGAGCTTCCATCAAGATATAATCAGCATCTCGGACATTATCGTGAACTTTGACATAATCTAATTCAGGGTTAACACAAAGAGCCAAATTACTGGGAAGAGTCCAAGGTGTTGTTGTCCATGCGACAAGAGATACACTTGGATCATCATCAAGAGGGAATGAGACAACAACCGCTGGATCGACAACATCTTTGTAATTTTGACCTGCCTCAAAATTGGACAAGGGTGTATTACAGGTAGTCGAGAAGGGCATTACTTTGACACCTCTATAAACAAGACCTTTGTTAAATAGCTGCTTGAAGACCCACCAAACTGTTTCCATGAACCAAGGGTACATTGTTTTATAATCATTTTTAAAGTCAATCCATCGACCTAATCTGGAGACAATGTTTTCCCATTCATCTGAATATCTCATTACAATTGCTCGACACTCTTTATTGTAGGCAGCAACACCCATCTTGGCAACATCTTCAGGCCCTTTGATACCGAGATTTTTATCAATTTCATATTCAACAGGTAATCCATGACAATCCCAACCAAATCTCCTCTCCACGTGGTAACCTGATTGATGGGCCCACCGAGTAACAATATCCTTGATGGTACCTGGAGAGAAACAAACAAGAGACAACAAAGATGGAGAGAAATGAGTAACATTAAGATTTTCATCGATAGAATGATGCTAATTGTAACAATTTACCTGCTAAGATGTGTCCATAATGAGGTAATCCAGTTGCAAATGGAGGACCATCAAAGAAAACAAATGAAGGTTTCCCACTGGATTGTTTGAGACTCGTTTCAAAAGCTTTGATCTCTTGCCAATGTTTGATTATTGATTCTTCTGATTTTGGAAAATCAATTGTTTCCGGTACACTATTAACCATGATGGTAACAAATTTCAATCCGAACGACAGTTAATCAAATAAATTAAATATAAACTTGAGTAAAACAATTCACCGGATGATTAAAATTCAACCAGATTTTCAAACGTATACAAAAGATACTCGATCTTGAATTCGATTTTTTTCTTCAAACATCGAAATCGATTAAATCTCAGTTAATCAGCTTCAATCGATTTCGCTGAATATTTTTCATTTTCATCGACCTGAGGTAAATCATTGGAAAGATCAACTTTCATTTTAATCAAATCACTTGGGCTAATCTTAAATATCGGCGTCACCACAAAAGTCCATTGCTTTTCCAGGGTTGTTCATACATTTACTTCCGATTTGATCAGAGTTTTTGTTTATTCCATGATCAAAGTTTTGGATCAAACAATCAACTAATCACCGGAAAAAAGGAAATTATGAAACTTTACAGATTGATAAACTTATCGGGTGTCTCCAGAATCATAGTTAATGAATGAACTGATTTATTAATAGTAACTTGATTGATCAGTTTGACTTTTTGATAAAACCTAAATTTACTTAAATCGATTAAATCTAAGTAAATAAATATATCAATACAATTAATGAATTTTTTTGACACTTATCATGAATAAGAGTATTTTGATTAAAATTTATCTATAAAATATTTGATTCTTTGTCTCAATTGACTTAATTTACATGTGAACCATTTAAATGGTGTTGATTACTTATGAATTTCAATGTTTATATTTTAATGGACAATTGTGAATCCTCGTTGTCTTACTTCTAAGGAATAAATGACCGCACCGACCACAGAAACAAGCGAAATTTGAATGAATGCTTTCCAAATGTCCTATTACCGCCGATCGATCACAATAAACTCTACCACAAAGTGGACACTTGGCCTTTCCATTTTGTTCATGGATGAGACCACTGAACATTTGACTCAATCGAGAATAATCAATAAGATAGAGTTTTCCTTGTGACATTCCTTTGATGACTCGCTTAGCAGTTTTTTTGGGTATTTTCGGTACTAATAATTGTTCGAAATCAGACTCATCCCAAGGTACTTTGTTTTGCACATGAGTGAAAACGTAAGGATCTGGATTAAGTTTCGTTGATGTTTGCAGTCGCTTATCAAGGTGATATCTGGAATAGGAACAAATATTTATCGGGAAATTTTGTACTTGTATTCGTCCATTCTCAATCAAATTCCTTGGGTAGTACCAAAAATCTTCACTACGATTAACTCTGAATTGAAAGCGCTTAAGTGCTCCGTTGGTTCCGTCAATAAGCTCCGCTGCGTTCGCGAATTCTGAATCTTTTTTAACTCTCTTGAGAGCTTGAATTTCATTTTCGCTTTCACTTCCGTCTGTGGACTCATGTTGATGGTCAGTCTTACGGGTAATTCTCGACTGCGTTGGCTCGAAACGATCTTCGACCAATTTCAATGATCGTCTAAGAAATTTTATCGAGTCTCGGTTCATAGACAGTTTAATAGAAATCGAGTTACTTACACTCTTAGCTAACTCGATTGATTTAACTAAATGTTTCTTTTTTTCGTGACCATCGACATCGACATAAGGTAAATTATTGTAAGTATCAGCGTTTATTTCAATCCAATTAATCGGACTGTTCCTTATATCGGCATAACAATGACTACCAAAGTCTATTGATTTTCTAGTATCAACCAACACATTTGTTTGATCATTAACTTGATTGTCTCCACAATGATCAGCACTTTCACTTTGTTCAAGATGATTTCTTGATTCCATGATGATTTCGTCGTTTCAAAGTATTAGATAGTCAACAAGTAACAATCAACCAAGCACCGAAAGAGTAACCAGAACTTTCACAATTATAAAACTTGAACTTAAAAATGAACAACTGGAGTAATTCACTAATTGTTTACTTCATGAAACTCTAAGTGATTCTAATCATAGTTCACAAATCAAAAGATGTGATAGTTGCTAATTATTTTACTCCAATCAGCTCATTTCTCTTATTTTTATGTAATAATAAAAGCTTCTTAACGAAATAAAAGCAAATTGATGGTTCTTTTTGAATAGTTGTAATGCCTTAGCTACTTTACTAAAATGAGATGAATTGGCTTTCGATGTATAATTTGTTATGCAATTTGCGATAGATTTTGCCTCATCAATAACGTGTAATTCATTATGATCATTGAAACGAATACCAAAAGAAACCTTTGAATGTACTCTAAGTCCACAATATTTACCATCTTCCCAAGCAAATGAATTGATTCGGGCAGAGAAAGGCTCATTACCATTTCTACAAGAGATTCGAATGTAAATCGCAAATGCATTGAAATATTCCTTTACAATACATAGATTAGATTCTACAGGAAGCTATTCTCTGTAGAAGCTTCCTTTACATCGGTACCATAAATCCCGTCGATGAAAGAGAAACACCGAAAAGAAAGAGGAAATTCTCAATAAAATCTTAGCATCAACAAATCATACAGTAAATGTATTAATATAAAAAACCAAAGTAATACAAAGAGAATCAAATCTATTGACAGTAATTTAATTGTTTATTTTGGCTTTTTTACAATCGAAATTAACACACGAACCAAATCGATACAATGAACAATTAGTTTTTAACAATCATCATAAATATTATTTTGATTATTATTTTTTTTGCTTTAAAATTTGATTCTTTGTCACAATTGACGAAAATTTCATAAAACATTTAATTATTTGCTTTTGAGTTCCGATTTTTCTTTTTTGATGGACACTTGTGAATCCTCGCTGCGCCACTTCTAAGGAATAAATGACCACACTGACCACAGAAACAGACGAAATTTGTATGAACACTTTCCAAATGATCTGATATCGCCCATCGATTACAATAAACTCTATCACAGAGTGGACATTTCGCCTTTCCATTTGGTTCTTCATGAATGAGACCACTGAACATTTGACTCAATCGATTGTGATCAATATTGTAGAGTTTTCCTTGTGACATTCCCTTGAGAACTCGTTTAACAATTTCTTTGGGCATTTTCGGAACCAATAAGTGTTCGAAGTCGGACTCATCTAAAGGCTCTTTATGTTGTACATGAATGAAAACGTAAGGATCTGGATTAAGTTTTGTTAAGAATTGAAGTCGTTTATCAAGATGATCTGTGAAAAACGAACGAGTATTTGCAGGAAAATTTTGTTCTTGTATTCGTCCATTTTCAATCAAATTCCTTGGGTAGAACCAAAAGTCTTTACGATTTTTTACTGGAAGTTCAAAGCGCTTTTCAAATGTTCTATTGATTTTCTCAACGGGTTTTCCTTTATTATGTTCATTTTCGAAGTTTGTATCTCTTTTAGTCTTTTTGTGCATTTGACTTTCATTTTCACTTTCACTTTCATTTGTAGATGATTGATGGCCAGTTTTATCGTATCTCTTGATTGATTCCAAATAAGAATAAACTTTTGATTGCCATTTACGTTTAGTTCTCGACTTTGTTGACTTGAGACGATCTTCAACTAATTTCAATGATCGTCTAAGAAATTTGATGGAATCTCGATTTAGAGACAATTTAATACGAAAAGAATCATTTCCACCAATAGCAACCAAGGTCGATTGTACCAATGAATTAACCGTTTCATGACCTTCGACATCAATCTGAGTTATTTCATTGTCAGGATCAGTTCCTTCTTTAATCCAATCACTTAGACGAATCTTAATTTTAGCATAAGAATGATCACCAAAAGCCCTTAATTTGCCAGAATGGGTCAATGAGTTTCTCTGGTCAAGACAAGACAAGCTTGATTCACTTAATTCATCACCTTCATAATGATACGCACTTCCACCACTAAGATAGCTCGTTAACTCCATGACAATAATAAAATTTCCAAAGGAGATACTCAACAATTAATAATCAATAAAACATCAAAACAAAAACATTCAAAATGGAAAAACTTTACAAATGAACTTTTGAAATGATTTGTTGTTTCCTTCATGAAACTATGAGTGTTTCTGTAATAATAGTTCACAAACTAACCGATGTGATGGTTGTTAATAACTGTACTTTAATCAGTTCATTAGTAGTGAAAATAAATAAAACTTTACAAATGAACTGCTGAAGTAATTCAACAATTGTTTCCTTCATATGCCATAATAACTATGAGTGTTTCAAATCAACACATGTATCAATTTTAATTAGGTTAAAATCATCTTATAGCCAAAATCCAATTGATTTCAAATAAGAAACAAATCAATTGAAATCTTAACAATAATAATAACATTAAATCAATTCTAAGTAAAGACAAACTGACAGATCACTTTGAATAATTAGTATTTATGATAATTGTCACGAAGCATGAAAAATTGCCTTGTTTTTAATACTGCGAATAATAATAATCGTGGTGGAATCCTAATCGGTATCTTTTCATTGACCGATTTAACGAATCTATTGTAACCGAATTGAAGTCCAACTATTTGAATAGTTGTTATGTCCTGGGTACTCTCTCTGTTCACTCAAAACATGTAAGATGAGGTTTTGAAAGCTTGGTATTAATCGGTGAGTAATTCACCTCGTCGATATCGTGTAATTCATTATGATCAATGAAACGAATATCAAAAATAAGCTTTATATGTACTAAGTCCACAATATGTACCATCTTCCGAAGCAAATGAATTGATTGATACAGAGAAAGGCTCATTACCATTTCTACAAGAGATTCGAATGTAAATCGCAAACGCATTGAAATATTCCATTACATTACATAGATTAGATTCTAGGAGTTCCTTAAATTCACAATAAAATCTTATCACCAACAAATCAAAATAGTAAATGTCTCAATAATTAAAGTATTAAGAACAACAGATCTATTGATTGTAATTATATTATGGTTTTAATGGTTAAACATTTGATTCTTTGTCACAATTGACTTAATTTACATGTGAAACATTTAATCATCTACATCATTATGACTTTAAATGTTATCTTTTGACGGACAATTATGTGTCTGCATTGTCTTACTTCTAAGGAATAAATGACCACACCGACCACAAAAACCAGCGAAATTTGAATGGATGCTTTCCAAATGTCCTATTACCGTATCTCGACGCCCATAAAATTTACCACAAAGTGGACATTTAGCCTTTCCATTT